AGTGAATTAACAAGGAGCTGAGCATTAGCCAGGCCCAGAGCACAGGGGTGATGCCAACCCTTCTCTACAGAATCACTCCAGAGACATACTTCACATTCCAAAAAAAGCGTGTTTGCTTGATTTTGGAAATGCCCTGAGATTTGAACAAACTTCATCCTCTCTCAAACTCAAACCCCCAACTATTTAATTCTATGCATGTACTCATTCCCTTCATGCATATGAAAAACTTTTTAAAACAATGGTAAAATCTAAGTGAGCCCAGATTGTAAATTAGAGACTGAATGGTTGTTAAAATGGTTAAAAAGGTCAAATGATTGATCCGAAAAATGTAATCTGTGAGTTTAGGAAAGAAACATTTTCCAAGCTTGTTTTATACACCATTTAAATATACATATATGAATATAAAGAACATGTTCATTCTCATACCAAACATTGCAAAAAAAAACAACAACAAAAAGTGCAATAATTGCAATTCCAATTCTGCAAGAAAATCAAAAGCACAAGACTTCACATTCTGTGTGACTATTTTTGAATATCTGAATACTTGACAGTGAACCGCTCACGTGCTGTACATTATAAAAAGAGAAAGTGTCCATTGAGCAGCAGTTTTGTGGGCACAAAAAAGTGCTCTGAAGAGAATGGCTAGACTGGTGTGAGCTGAAAGAAAGGCAACAGTTACTCAAAAACTTGTTACAATTGAGCAATGCAGAAGAGAATCTCTGAAGACTGAACCCTGAGGTGGATGGGTTATAGTAGTAAACTCACAAAAAATGGACAATAGATTATTGGAAAAGCGTTGATTGGTCTGATGAGTCTCGATTTTTGCAATGACATTTGGATGGTAGGATCAGAATTTGGGTTCAAGAACATGAAAGCATGGATCCATCTTGCCTTGTATCAATGGTTCAGGCTGGTGGTGGTGGTGTAATGGTGTGGGGAACATTTTCTTGGCACTCTTTGGGCCAATTAGTACCAATTGAGCATCATGTCAACACCACAACCTACCTGAGTATTGTTGCCAACCATGTCCATCCCTTTAGGACAACAGTGTTCCCATGTCCTAATGGCTACTTCCAGCAGAATAATGCACCATGTTAAAAAGGGTGAATGATTTCTTGAAACTGACAATGAGTTCACTGTGCTCATATGACCTCCACAGTCGCCAGATATCAATCCAATAGAGCACCTGGAACGTGGAACTGGGGATTCACATCATGTAGGTGCAGCCGGTCAATCTGCGGAAATTTCGGGTCTCCATCATGTCAAATTGGATCAAACTCTCTGAGCAATGTGTCCAGTACCTTGTTGAAACTATGCCACACAGGATTAAGGCAAGCCCAACCCAGTACACATAATAAAGTGGATGGTGAGAGTATTTTTGATATATGTTAAATACAAAGTTGACCCCAGGAAGAACTGGCTTGTAATTGACTTCTTATAACTGCAACACACCAATAAAAGCTTTCAAAGCAAAGCCATTCCCTACTTCCTGTAGTTGTATACAGAGCAGAGCCTTAAGTGAACAACACTCCTGCAGGCAACCTCAGCACCCAGACACAACATAAATAAAGCAACATAAACAAAACAACATCTTCACAGGTGTTACGTCTACTAGCAAGAAGAACAAAGGTTGAAGGGTTGTACGAAGAAAAAGCCTCCTTCAGATAAAGACTGACACTTCTTCCAGCAGAATCAAGGGCTTGTTTCATTTCCTGGTGCTTGCCAGTATCCATGACAACAGCTGCTTTGACAGGATGTGCATATGGCACTGCTCTACCAGCTGGCGAGAACAATGTTTGAACTAGTACATTGATATGCTGAGCAAACAGGGGGAGAGAGAGGTGAGGGAAATCGAGAGAGAGAGAGAGCGAGAGAGAGAGAAAGAGAGAGAAAGAGAGAGAGAGAGAGAGGGATTGGGGAAAAGTTGCCATGTCCTAACCCACTGGGGAAGCAGCCATCCCCGTGATCAATTATAAAGAGACCAGCAGAGGAGATGCCACTGTCTGGCTGGTTGTGCAGTGAGGAGCCAGGCTCTCCCAGCTCCTGGTAAACAAACACAACACAGTGGCGCTGGATCCCAACAGCATCGATCAGTCTCTTCTGATACAGAGAACCATTGTCTGATACAACAGGAGACAGCAAGATGAGAAGGAGGATTGAAGTACTTGAAATGAGCTTTTACTTTTGAACCTGTTTGATTTTGGACTCTGAAGCATTGAATGTACTGGAAAATAAAAACTGGAGGCACTGGAGACTGACTTATCCATGGCTTCCTAACTGGAGTTTGGGTCATACCACACTGAATCCTCAACGATGTCTCTTTTTCGCTATAAAAAGTACATAATGGGCGCATACAATCTTGAGACTGCTAGGAGAGTAGGAGTCCAAGGAAATGCACAGAATTTTAAATATGCAACAATTATATTTTGAAGTTTAAAGCATGTTATTTGAACTGATATTACACACATACGATCATTTAGATCAAAATGTAAGTCACAATCATTAAAATGTACTGTATATGGTATGTTTACAGTAGCTTACATTTATGCTGATGTATTGGCATGTTCCTAAAAATATATAGCATTAAAACAAGAAAGAGGCAATGTATTGCAACTCCTGTATCATGATATCTATCCTATCTCCAGATTATTGGTTATACACAGCCTTTGTGGAGAGGAAGTAGAGTTTGACCTCCTTTCAGGATAATTATTTCACATTCTAATGCTTTGTTGTCTGTTTTGAAGACACACAACAACAAAAATACCACCAATTAATCAAAACCTGGTGTCTTTGGTTTGGGTGTGGTATAGATAAAAATAAGATTAAATTGATCAGAAGCAGTTTTTGTATATAGTTATTATATGATCTATACATTTTATTCATTAATTGCAGAAACATAAAAACTGGATCAGAAAGTAGAGGTTCCCTTGTTATAAACTGATTGAAAGTGGTCTACATCAAAAACACTGGAAACATTGCAACAGGCAAGTTTCTGCACTTCATTGTGTATTATTTTTCAGTTATAAATGATGCATTTATCGATTAGTTATGCTACTTTTGAATGCACGAGTGAGTTATAAGTACCCTCACCAAGTCATTATAAGCAGGACGCGTAGATGAGATTGTAAATTGCAGGAGATTTCACGCCCATCCAAGCGGTGATTGTGATTGTGTGGCTTTAGCGGCCGGCTAATGGCTTTAGCACAACAATTAACAGAAGGAAATGTTTATCCACATCCCGATCAATACAGAGACATAGTCCTCTGATGAAGAAAAGGACAAAGTCAAAGAAGTCATTCAATACATGTTAGAGGTCAGGCTGGTGCCGCTTCCCATAGCACATGGATGGAGACGTTTAATGGTTTTTCCAATACCAACATAAAGGCACAGGAGGAGGAAGAGGGAGTAATCAACTCCACTTTGCATGTTACAGCGACAGTGAGGAATAAAGGGATGATTTATTTATTCACTACTATGTTTGTCACAATCTGTCTGCACAGAAAGATTACCATTCAACCAGTAAAGCAAATAAAAACCAGATGTTTTAATTCTTTCAGGTGGTAGAAATTGGTGTAGAGTTGTTAATATGCAAGATATTTCCTTTGAGGTGGGCATCGACCATCAACATTGGCTTTGGTGTAATGTTGGTTTTCAAATGTTGCTACCAAGGTGAGGTTGAGAAAGACTTGAACCCGGCAACAAGACACAATGTAGTTAAGGCCTCTACACACTGAATTTACGACCCAAAGTTTTGTGCGAGAACATGCCTCAATCCTCATGGGCGCCAACGGGAGCCTAAACATCTCGCCGAACGAATGGTGTCATTGAAAAATAGTTTTGGATTGTCGTATGAGAACGACCAATGAAAGCTGGCTCTTTTGAGTAGGACGTAAAAGAGCACCCTGCTGAGAAGCCATCTGAAGATTTGTGCAAATCTCAATTTTGATCGATCTGTAGAGGCCTTTATACTGCATCAACAAGGTCTCTCCGAGACAGAGATTTCAAAGCTAAGAAATTAGTAAAGCAGATGAAAGACACATCGTTCAAATTATCCTTTAAAAACAGAAGACATCCAGGACTGTCAAAACTTTCAGAAACCAACAGAATCCAGGTAGGTGGTAACGGTCTAGAGAAGTGGCCAGAACTGGTCTTCAAGGAGGAGTTTCTTATTACATAAGAAATATTAATTGAATGGTTCAGTCAGAATTTATCTTTGTCCTTACCCCCAAAGAAACACCTAATTGGAGCCAACACAGCGTCTTAAAGTGTAATAGACATTAGCCCTAATCTGAAAACATCCAAAAGGCAACACAGAGACACCAGGTGCTTCCCAGATTCCCCAAAAGCAAAGTTTTGCTGTATGTGTAGAAGAAGCTTGCTTTGCTTTTCTTACGGCTATAAGTTTTGTTACTGTGCAGAAGAAATGCAGGCTGCCATCTATTAATGCACACATTGTATAAACAGCACAATGCACTGCATTCCTCAGAGCTGGGAGCTCAAGAAGAACCTGGGCTGGAGCGTAAATAACAAGGCACTCAGGAACATATTTGATGTTGATATCTATCTCTAAGGACTGGGAGGGGGCGGAGAGGGTAGAACAGAAAGAAACAAACTTGCACATTCAGTACAATGAAACTCATGTGACACACAAACACATGACTGCAAGGGCTTCGGAATCTTTATGAAAATAGAATTCACACTACTTGGATCAGCTGTACTTGGTAAAAGATTGAGGGCGAGATGATGTCATTATAATAAGAAAGACGAGTGTTTACATAAGCATACCTTAGCTACATTAATAGCCATGCAAAGATCATTGAAGAGAGAGAGAGAGAGGCTTAAGCAACACGTCAACGCTCTCACCTCTTCCACCACCCTGTCTGTGTTTAGACTTAGCGCAGGGGTAATGAGGAATACATTGCAACATTCCCAGTGCTAAAACAAGCATGACAAGCATTAGCAGCCAGTCGCAGCTTGGCACATCATTGCAAACACATCTTACTTCCTGTGGCTCAGTTGGTAGAGCATTGAGCTTGTGATACAAAGCTTGTGGGATCGAATACCAGGGAAGTTGCTTTCGATAAAAGATGTAAACATAGGGTTTAGCAAAATTTAGATGTTATCAGAGATGATGACCCCTCAGAATATAGCAAAGCTTCTTGTGGAAGCCCATGGTTTTATGTTTTATTCACAAGTGAGCCAGAGCCAAAAAGGGTAGCATCATTTGAATGTTTTTGGAAACACCAGATCCGAATTTTCTTGCAACAACGTGCCTTGATTGAAAACCATGGCCGCGAGAGGGACATCACACATTTGACCGAACGATTGGTGACAATGCAAAAGGATCTATTTTCGCAAGGAGAACGACCAATGAAAGCTGGCTCTTTTAAGTAGGACATAAATGTGCCGCTCAGTGGCACTCATCCCACATTTTCATAGCGGCTGTGAGAAAAGGAAAGAAACAGCACAAATCCTCAAAATGTTTATTATTTTTGCTGTTCACCACCCAAATTCAAAGCAAAGTTGCTTTACTTATCTGAAACAATGCGTTCTGCACCTCAAGATGTCTGGGTCTCAAGTGTCTTGGATTATGGAAAACACGCACAACAAGAAAGAGATAGAGCCAGAGAGCACAACCCTTATCAAACCGACAGGAGTCTGCTGCCACGGAAAACAAAGGACAAACAGTTTAAGCTGAACAAACAAACAGAGCTGATTGGCTGGTGGTCTGCACAGCCTGAGCAAAGATAGGTTCCTACTCTCCACAGCACAATATTGACACCATATCTGTTATGTAAGTGTGTTTAGGACACAGGGGTCTGATGAGGGGCCAGGCCACTCTTGAATAGAAAACATAGCTCCAGGCACGGATTTCATAAACAAGACGTGCGCTGAGGACATAACAGCCCCATGGCGTCCCCATGTTGAGAGCCACACACATACACGTCAGTATGAATGACAGCTGAACAAGTTAAAGGTCTGTCTGGATACACAATGGCAGTAGGGCAGTGGACAGTGTCTCAACCTCAGATGTGAGGAAGTTGACTGACACAAGGGTGGAACAGCCTCCTTTTATCAAAGGTCATTTATAGCTGTGATCTGTGTTAGCACACCAGCCGCCTTATCGCTGAGTCTGGACACCCTTGTTGAGCTCCAAACAACTGAACTGAGTTGTCTGGACTCGAGCAGTGTTTACCCTTCAGGGCAAGAGGCTAAAATTTCTATATCTAAAGATTTGATATCTCAAATTTAAACAAAAAAGTGCTGTCTTTGATGTGTACCAATGATGTGCGACAAATATGCAACAAAAGAATATATTTGATTTTATGTTATAAAGTATAGGACAGAGTAGAAAAAGTAAACATACACTTTATGAAATGATACGTTATAGAGGGCAGATTGAAATATTAAATTGTTACAAAGCAGGAGGTACTTCTCACCAGAACCAAAAGGTTTGTTTCAGTTTTAGCACCTTTGTAATGATTCCGCTACTTTTTAATGTGAAGAGCCCTACCCCAAATAAGAGGCAGATCTACTACACATCAAATCTTCTTCTAGATCACTTCGATCTGGTAACTATTTCACGTACCCAAAAGCACATCAAAAGGGTGACAGGGCATTACTTTTAGACTCTTCTCTTGGCACTGAGCCTTAAATAAACCATGGACCCACCTCACTGATTAGTTTTCTAGCTTCCCTCTTGTATTGGCTTTTTATTTTAATACGACGTCTGTTTATTGACCAGTGGTACAGCACTTTGGCATGGCATACATACTTACAATACACTGATTAAAAAGAAAAAGCAAATAATAATTTAAGAACTAATATCCAGTAGCCAAAACAGAACTGAATGCAGTTTAACTTACAGTTAATATGGTAAACTATTTCAACCATGCAAGAAAACCCATGCCTTAAAAAGTCAAAATTCCAAGATAAAATCAACTTTTTAACAAAATTCTATTGTAAAAAAAAATATTTAAAAAAATGAGGAATAAAAAAAATATTTTACATCCCTTCAATGCTGAAATACAAATTTTTTATTTCATAATTATGACTTAAGTAGGTCATAAATTTGACTTTGAGTTGAATAATTTAGTTGTAGTTTTAGACTTGTGAGGTCTGACTCAAGCTATTTGAAAAGGACACGTGTGAAAGCAGCGAAAACGTCCAGGGATTAACTGTGTATGCATGGCAGTCAACCCAGCGGGTGGCACAAACAAAAATAATGAGAATGAGTGAGACAGAGAAAGAGTCATCAGTGAGAGAGACTTGAGTTTTTCTTCAGTCAAAAGCCATACTTCTCAGACGAGAGAAAAGGATGTGGGAATAATGAGTGTTTTTATGTATGACTCAATAAATCAGTGGCGTGCGGAGCTCATGGGCCGGTCCGTGGAGACGCTCCTCAGCTGCAGGGCCGAGCGTGAGCTAACGGGCAGAACAATGGGCTTCTGTAAGCTGAACTCGCTTGCCTTCTCCTTTCATTTCTTCTCCAGCTTTTTCCTCTCAATCTCTCGTCTTTCCTCCCCTCACATCTTTGTCTCTCTTGCTTGCTTCTTGTTTATTGATTTTCTAGATTAAGGATCCCACGGAGAGAGATTGTAACACACAACCATCAAATTATTTTGGGGTGTGCTTATTTGCCTTCCTCTTGCATCTATTTGGCCTGTGTCTGTAGACAATTATGCTTTCCCCAGCCCAGTCTCAGGTGCTAATAATGAAGGACAAATAGAATCATATGTGTAAACTTCCCCTTCTGATGAGAATTTATATTAACTTTCTGCCACTGTAAACACAGAAGCAGAGCTCAGCTCTCCCTGGTGAATTTCAGATGAATTCGCTTATTTCTACCCCAGAAAGCAGAGCATTTATGAGAGGAACTGCTCCATTGTGTAACCTCACACTTATTTTTTCAAGTGCAAGGAGACAAAACACGAGTCTGTCCAACCCATCGGGGCGAGAGTGTATCCGCTGACAACAGCCATGTGTGTTTTTGTCTATACATGTGTGTGTGTGTGAGCATATGGCCCCTTGTTGGGGAACTGGTGCCAGCAATAACAAGCCAAACAGAGTCGGCTTCCACCGTTCAGTGCAACCACAAACATTCATACGCTTCCCTCCTCCTGTAGACACGATTATGGATGGTTCTCGCAAATCCAGGCCACACTTTTGCACTGGACCACGTATAATAGTTTACAGTATCGCCAGCAACCTGTGGAGGGAATTAGACGGCAGGGCCCCCATACTCAAAACAACATCTGTATCCCATAGAAATCCAGAAACACAGAGAGGAAAGTGAACAAAGTCAAATCAGATTTATGGTTTTGCACTCGTATGCATCTGTTTTGCTTATACTTGGAGTGCTTTGTGCCATTTTACATTGGTTCATGCTAGTTATCGCACTGCAATCTTAATCTGCCAGGAAACGGGGTGACAGCCAGGGAGTTAAAGATGTTTCTGTAAAGATGTTTCTCAGTAAAGATGTTTCTGCTGCTCTGTTTCTTTACAAGAAAACTGTACATAATAGCTTTGTTTACTTTCTTTGATCATTCATTCCCAGTTAGGGTCATGAAGGTCCCACCGTCACAGAGTTACGACACGTGAAGCTTAAAACTGACAGGTTGATTCACAAAAAAAATGGAAAAAGTCCATTCTTAGAAACTACTGCGAGGATGCTTAAACATAGATCTTCCTCTAGGAGCTCAGACACTGTTTCTCCTCATATCTGTCTGGTTCCTTTCTTTGTGAAACTTGATCTCTTTCTGCTGCTCCACGAAAAGCTTTGCTAAAGCCCTGGCTTTCAACTGCTGTATATCATCTAGGTTTAGATAAGGTGACATTGCAAGGGCTTTTATCCGGCTTCCTTACAGAGCCACTTCCAAGGAAGTGGACTGCTTTTCACTTATACCATCAACACACAAGCAAGTGCAGGCCAGAGAATGAAATAAAGGAAGTGCGAGATGCAAAACGAGTCCCCACTTCCTGGTATGTGCCTGATGCCCTTGGCTTCGTTTTCAAGTGATTATGATCCATCTCTTTTTCACAGTTCCACGCCACTGAGCATCACACGGTCAGAGGAATACCTCTTTATAAATGTTGCATTCAGGGACGAGAGAGGCAGCGACACACAGCACATGTATTCCGAGTGAGGCCGGAGGAAAAAGAGAGAAAAGAGAAGCAGGGAGCTTTTGTCGGAGAGAAGGAACAGACTTGCATGCCATTTGGGCATAGCGTTTGTTGACAAGAACTTATTAAGGGGATCAGCACACAGCTAGAAGCTGAAGCAGTCTCTTTGGCATAGGAAGTGTTTGCACCGAGTGTCAATAGCAATACATGATACTTTGATGAAAAATAAACCAAATAATCTCATGGAGAAACATATGCTCATCGGGTGTTAGACTAGAGACAGTGCTACAGTGCAAAACAACAGTAGTCTGCAGCTGTTTAAAGAAGACCAAATATTAGACAAGTTTCCCAATCTGCAAATAGCCATGCATTTTCTTTTTCTGATGCAGCTCACATAGAGCGTAAGGTACACCTTGGGCAGGTTGCCAGTCCATCGCAGGACTACATTCACTCCCAAAGGGAATTTAGACAAACCAAATCACCTGAAGCATTGTCGGTGGATCCATGTTTGTATAGGGAGAACATGCCAACTCGACTCAGGAAATCTGCCCGTTCACTTCAACCTACCTTTGTCCCACCAATTTTCCCGACTTGACTTATGTTGTTATTGCTTGGCAAATTGGGTCTTTATGGTTGCAATTGAAAAGTATATATAGATATTTTGAATACTATTGTTCTGAGATAGGAAGTTACATCACAAACATTACACCTCCCTCATGTGAGGCTCAAGGACAGAGGGGCACGGGCATTTGCGGTAGCAGGGCCTCAACTATGGAATAGCTTACCTTTAGAGATTAGAATGGGGCCTTCTTGTCTTCTTTTAAGTCTTTGCTCAAAACTCATTTTTTCTCTTTAGTGTATTAATTTTTTCATAAAGTTGTTGTCAAACAGGTTGTTTTGTTTTGTGTGTGTGATTCATGGGCTGTGTTTTGCGATTATGTTTTTCTGTG